GTGGGTTTATCTTTCGGATAATCAGTTGCTTCTTCTTTAACTAAATTTCTGATCTCTTCACTTTCCTCTTGTCTCCAATCTTCATATGATTTTTGTTTTTGAAACTTGCTCGAACTATCACCATCCATTTTTCCTTCTCCGTTTTCATCATCCATAGATTGTTGTTGAATCTTTCTTTGCTTACAATGTCTCTCAAGTTCACCTAATTCTGGATCTTCACCATCTTTAGTTTTTTTCCTTCTCTCCACAATCTCATTCTCCTCCAATGCTCTACCTTTGTCTTTTTCCTCTGTTTCTTGCAATTTGTCTTGTACCATAGATCTCTGCAATTCCGGCTTTTCAATTTCTTGACGAATTTGTTTTGAGCTATCTTCCTCATTTTCCAGTTCTGCCCTGGCAATAACCTTTGCCTCTTTTTGTTCTTCTCCACCAGAGTGTTGATCTCTGGGATCAGTTGCTTCCTCTTTGACTAAATCTTTTCTCTTTTCTCGCTCCTCGTGTGTCCAATCCTCATATGATTTTCGTTCTTCAAACTTACCTGAATTGTCATCTTCCAGTTTCCCCTTTGGCTCAGCAATTTTCTCCACCTTTTCTCTTTCCACTAATCGAGGAATATTACTTTGCTCGCCGTGTCTCTCCGGTCTGCCAGCTTCTTGGCTAACATCCTCATCTTGTTTCTTGACTTTTTCTCTATAGTCACTTGTTCCCATTTCCACTGGTTCTTGGACTTTGTCTTCTTCTTCTCTCTTGTAAGGTTTTCTCAACTCTGGATCTTCGTCATATCCAACTTTTCTCAAGCTACCATCTTTAGTCTTTGTTCTCCTCTCCACATTATCATTCTCCTCCATGGCTCTAGGTTTGTCTTTTTCCTCTGTTTCTTCCATCTTGTCTTGTACCATAGATCTCTTCAATTCATCACTTTCCTGTTTTCCAATCTCTTGAAGAAATTTTTTTGAGCTATCTTCCTCAGTTTCCAGTTCCTCCATGGATACCTTTTCCTTTTGTTTCTCATGGCTCTCTGGCTTTTCAGGTCGCTCTTCCTTCATCTCTTGAACATCTACGGAATTGTTGTCACTTTCTGTTATTGTCATAGACTCTTCAATTTTCTCCTCCTCTTTCTCTTTGTGTATCTTTGGTTCATGCAACTCCTGTTCTTTACTACCGTGTACTTTACTTAAGCCACCGTGTTCAGTTTCTATCTCTGGCTCTGCGGTTTTGGTCTCTGATTCATCTTCTTGGCAATCTTTGGCTTTCTCTTGCAGCAGTTCTTGAGTCTTTTCTCGTTCTTCATGAATATTGTCTTGCTCCAGTTGGCTGTTCAGATTAACCAACTCTTGTTCTATCGTAGCTGTTTTCTTTTGCGGTTTATCAG